TTCGCCTAGACTGCTTGCCAACCAATGCTATAGGATCCAGTCTGCCCTACTATTTACCCATATCTGGGGTGGGGAAGAAGAGATGCATTCATACCTTTCCCAAGGGTATTAGCACATAAATGAATGCAATAAACTCGACAGGAATTCAAACTCGGCTCTCCGATTCCTCAATCAGAGGCGCAGTCTATTTCCCCAGTGATAAAAGTAAAAGAGAAAAATACTTTGATATTCAAGCAGACTGCAGCCTCTAAAGCAAGAATATGGGTCCTGGTGTTTATGAACACCGAAAATAAATTCGGTTTGACATTCAGTTTAAGAAAGGAAACAAAATTCAAAGCAAATTGAGAAAAATGAGAAACACACTGACCGTCAACTATCACGGCATATCATTGTAAATTATGTGAACAGCATACTGAGACTATAGACTACTTAGTATTCGACTGTCCAATGTTGACACCAAAAGCCGACATGAAAAAATTGGGTAATATATTCACTGGAAGATATGTCAGTATTATAGCGCACCGCATGCTGAATAATCCTACGAACACTATCTGAAACCAGTCATAGAAAGCCATGAGGCCAATTTGGTGGTGGTGGGGGGGGATTTTACCATTCATACTGACAGTCATATAAAAAGGTCATTTAGACATTGTGATTAGAGTCTACAAAAAGATCTTATTGATATAAATGTGTCGCCAGATAAATTATATACAGGGTGTTCGGGCTAAATTTGACAGAGTTTAATGTCTTTATTTATTCAGATTGTTTTAGAACATCAGTAAACAGTAAACGGCACTGTGAAACCAAATCACTACAGTTTTCGAGGTGTCAAAGTTAACTGACATGGACGAATGGAAGCCACCCTGAAAATTGGAAAAGATTAGCCTGCATCATGATGATTCGTGCCGGGCATCAAAATGTCGCAATCATGACAGCTGCTCAATGCTCTTTGAACACCGTAAAAAGCACCGAGGAAGGTGCTAGAGTATCAAGAAGGTCTGTTGCCGATTTTATTTCCAGTGAGATAGCCCGGTGTTAAAATTCATTAAGAAATAATATTAAATATTATTCGATAGAAGTCACGATCACGAGTCCCGTAATCCGTTTGGGTCGTTGGGGCACGATAATTACTGTAGCGGTAGTAGTAGTAGTAGTACATGTCGTCAATTCAACTGCTCTAAAAAGCAGTGCCAAACATGGTGGTGTAAGTTCAATAAATCCCCTGTAGTGGGCATAACAAAGAAACAGCGACAAACAGCGACAGAAGTCGGTTTTATGTCAACGATATGACTTTTTGAACAGAGTCTCAAGCTCAATTCGGATGGTTATGTGGAATTACTGAACAACGTGGTCAAGCCTTGGTTAGAGAAGGTGGCTGCTGAGAGATCATATGAGTGGCAGCAAGATTCCGCCCCATTCCACACCTCCAAGACGAGTCAAATGTGGTTGTCAGATAATTTTTACGACGTCACCAACTCCAACGTCTGGCCTCTTAACCTCCCCTGATTGTAATCCCATGTATTATTATGCGTGGGTCGTGGTTGAGAAAGACCACCAACTGTAACATCAGCAAAGTAAATAAATACAAGACATTTTGTCAAAGGAGAGAGCGCAGAGAGAAGTCGGGTTATATTTCTCTTTAGAGCCTCAGCTGAAATTCAGACGACGTTAGCTGATTCTATTTTCTATGTTGATAACCATCGAGAATTTTCTGGACAACTAAAATAGGCGTGACAATAACAATAAAATAAATAAAAACGTCCGTACTTATGATCACAATAAGAGCAAATCTGATAATTCAAATGCCACGTTATTGGTGGAAAGTCTGTAGTGAATTGAACAATTATCACTTGAGAAGGACAATTCTCGGTGCGTGTCGCTGCACCTGCTCAAAAATCTACTTAACGCTTATCCCTGACCCAGCACCGGTTATGTCGAATGAGAAATTCACGTCATTAGTAACTTCCTGCTGATTCATCAGCGAAAGATAAATACGATTCATCTTGAAGAAATTCACAGCTGTAAAGTTTGTTGATCCGGGGGCCTCGTTGTTAAAATTAGATCCGTATTAAGTTAATATTCGTCGCGTTGCTCCTCAGATTTAGCTATAAAGTTGTGAGGTTTTTTTTTTATGAGAAGCTCTAAAAAGCAGCACTAAACATGGCGGCGAAAATTCAATAAATCGCCTGGAGTGCGCATAACAAAGAAACAGCGACAAAAGTCAAACGATTTTGAAAACGAGGCCACCTATATAAATTCTGGAGAAATTTCAAAATATAGATATTTCCGATTTTGTAGGAATATTCCAAAATTTATTGCTGCCTATTTAATGGAACATGCATGTAACATTTCAAAAGTTATTCGAAATATTAAGTTCATTCTTTTCTTTTTAGCTTAATGTTCCAAGCGGTCCCTACTATAGCCTTCTTCGGGTCTCCAATCTGAAAAGATGCTCAACCGGGAAATTTTTACTAGTCGGTATGGGAAAATTTCAGGACTGTATTTGCTGTTTTTGTACCATTCGGTGGAAATACGCGTGCAGCTAATTCTCTTTGGCACCCAGAAAACTGAATCAGTTTACTAATAGGATTCTTCTCGTCCCCTCCTCTAATCTATGATACGGGGCACCCACACTCTACAGGATCTCAATTTTCATAAGGTAGTATTCATATAAAATACAAATTTTATTGTAACCTAATTATTTACAATAATGGTTCATATGAAATATAGGTGAACAATTCAACGAGAAAAACTGAAAATAAATACAATATATCTAAATACGAATTAAAGACATGTCATAATAGATCATATTAAATAAATCAACAATGTTTAGCGACATTTTTTAACATGAACTTGAAATTTATCTTGTTAAAAATTTGAATGTTAACACATTCAACATCTTACTTATTATAAAACGCAGATTGCGTGTGTGTGTGTGTGTACGTTTATATATTGGATCGGATTTCCTACATTTTTCAACCGAATTCAACAAAACTTCACAGGACTACGTAAAATTACCTTGCGGTGGTTTTAATAGCGCCAAAAATTGGAAAAACACAATTGTTTTTGCACGAAATCAATTTGAAAACACGATTAAGAGGCATAACGAGAATGAAAGGGGGACAACTCATATCGAGTTATACTTATTATAAAACCCAGGTTGTGTGTGTGTGTGTTCGTTTATATATGGGATCGGATTTCCTACATTTTTCAACCGATTTCAACAAAACTTCACTTTTTTTTTTTTGGTAGTGTTTCTTATTGTCTTGCACACTTTTTTTTTTTTTATTTTACATTCAGAATGTTTTAAAAATTCCATTTACAAGACAATTGTTTATAATAAAATTCTATTCAATCGGTAGACTCATAACGATTGAAAACAATGTTTTTGTTTGAGTTTGGGTTTGACCAATTCGTAAAAAAAAAAGAAACTAATTAAGACATGCGTGTCCGTCAACCTAAAACAATAATCTTTGTCAATTTTATTTTTCAGTCTTTATGATGGTCAATACTTGATCTATCTCTTACTGTTACATCCCCGGGCAATGCCGGGCTCTGCTGCTAGTTATGGATAAAAAAATAGTGAATTTTATATAATGTGTTTTCGAGACTTAGCATAAGCAAAACAAATTCACGGATTTGGACAAAAAAACCAGGATGACGTCAAAATCTACAAAAATCCTTCATCCTTTAATAGTCATTTATGCTTAGTTTAATTTGTAACGTATATAAATGTAGGGAGAAAAGAGCAAATGTTAATAAGATAGCGATGGTTAGAAAGCACTGCCCGGGTCCCCAAATCTGGCTTTCCCCTCTACTGGTCGGAGGTGTTCTCGGGTATAGTACGCTCCAGCCCTGTTTGGAAGGGTTTCGCGATATTTATATTAGCTGATAAATTAAAGTAAAGGGGTCCTGCATCCCATTTTGCGTGAAACACGGTATCTAAACTCGAAATCTTTTGTCAGGCTTTTGGTGAATATTCTTTACGCATAACACTGGCTCATGTGTGGAACACGAGTTTCAAGGCCAGTTGATGTTCGGTCCGGGATGATGAATGGGTGTGCAATCACCAACGAAACGACCTAAAAATGTAGAAAAAATTAATAAGCCCATCTATGAGGATTGTCACCGAACAATCCATCTGCTCATTCTCACGATTGGAATCATTTATGGACTAAAAACCTGAACATACATCGCATTGAGGGCCACAAAAATGAAGTTTTGTGTGGCGTGAAAGAGGCTCTGAGACTATTTCAAATGAAATGGTGGCTACATTTTCGATACTACTTCGTATATGGCAGAGTGAATGCGTATTCATTTTTAAATGAGAGAATTGTATTCTGTGCTCACACAGTCTTTCACTATTGTAAATGACACACACACACACACACACACACATATATATACATATTTATAACTGATTGGTAATCTTGGGATTTGTATAATTTTCATAATTCATCATGTCTAGAATTAGAAAGCTCAAAACTCAACAAACACATGCAGAAAATCACTGGATGGCCGTTTCGTCCTTTTTAGGATTCATCAGCAGTGCGTAACTAGTAACTTAGTTTCCTCTTCGCCATCGTGACCCGCTAGCCGGATTATATAATGCTTGCGTCGTATCGTAACGGGTTCAATTCTCAATGTCAGTAGTGGATGCGCACTGCTAATGAGTCCCAAAAATTTGTGCGTTGAGAATTTTAGGTCTAGACATAATGAATTATTATGAAAAAATATATGTGTGTTTGATTGTTTTGCTTTTTACGGCTTATCAACCTTTTGCGGGTTATTTAAAGCCAGAAAATATTTTTATATTGTTAGAATTTACTGATACAAGTTCTACTAATTAACCCATAGTTGAGGGGAGATAAGGTGAATTCGTAACTTTCCCAAGGGTATTTGCATGTCAGTGAATATAACAAACCCGACTGGAATTGAAACTCGGTTCTCTAATTGCAAATTCCCAGATGTTAGCAATTACACACATCTTCACATCCAAGCTTACAGCATCTGATATTCCCAAGCGGTCATCCGTTTAGATACTGACCAGGCACGACGTTGCTTAACTTTGGTGATCGTACGAGGACCGGTGTTTCAACGTGATATGGTCGTATCCCCCACCTCTCTCTCTCTGAATTATGTCGGCATTTTTTAACCTGGAAGCGTCTATTTGTGGGTTTAATTCCTGAAGATGGTCGTGGGAAGAAAAAAAGAAAGGTCTGCATGTATCACATTTCTAATTGGTTTTGCGGATGCTGATCGCATCATCGCGGATGTTGACTGCGTATTAAATATACGTTATTAATTTTAGAGGAAAATTTATTGCGGAGGTAAATCGTGTGTATCGGGAAAATTTGGGGCAAATGAATTTGCGTTTTAGTTTGATTACTATTACTATTATTATTCTATAGCTTTTGAGTGTATTATTGAGAGATATTTGGTGTGTTGGATGTGGATGTATGAAATCTAAGGTTACATCGTCAGAAAATGTCTGGATCTTACATTCTTTCAGTATGGTCTCTTACGAATGTTGGTGATCTTACTTATTATAAAACGCAGATTGTGTGTGTGTGTGTGTGTGTGTGTCGGTACGTTTATATATTGGATCGGATTTCCTACATTTTTCAACCGATTTCAACAAAACTTCACAGGACTACATAAAATTACCTTGCGGTGGTTCTAACAGCGCCCAAAATTGGAAAAACAAAATTGTTTTTGCACGAAATCAATTTGAAAACAAGATCAAGAGGCATCACGAGAATGAAAGGGGGACAACTCATATCGAGTTATACTTATTAATATCGAGTTATCGAATTATACTTATTATAAAACCCAGGTTGGTTGGTTGTGTGTGTGTGTGTGTGTGTGTGTGTGTTCGTTTATATATGGGATCGGATTTTTCAACCGATTTCAACAAAACTTCAACTTTTTTTTTTGGCAGGTAGTGTTTCTTATTGTCTTGCACACTTTTTTCTTTATTTTTAAATACAGAATGCTTTAAAAATTCCATTTACAAGACAATTGTTTATAATAAAATTCTATTCAATCGGTAGATCCATAACGATTGAAAACAATGTTTTTGTTTGAGTTTGGGTTTGACCAATTCGTAAAAAAAAAAAAAAAAAACTAATTAAGACATGCGTGTTTGTCAACCTTAAGCAATAATCTTTGTCAATTTTATTTTTCAGTCTTTATGATGGTCGATACTTGATCTATCTCTTACTGTTACATCCCCTGGCAACGCCGGGCTCTACTTTTAGTATAAAATAAAAGTGCGTCTGGCGTGTGTTTATCGATGGAAGGATATTAATATTCCTTCTAGATATTTTCTTCGTAACAGGATATTTTCGTTTTTATTAGGGTGGCATTTTTTACAAAGTTATGGCCTGTTTTATTTCTATGTGTTACTAAATAGTTTTGTGGTGTAGAAGGGGAATGGATAGAGATAAAAGAAAACAGAAAAAATGGATTTGTTAACTGGATATCAAGAGATAACGAATGAAAGACTAAAAAGCAGCTATGGATGGGTTATTTAAAGTCAGAAGATATTTTTAGATTGTAAGATCTTTTTTGAGAAAATAATAGTTTTATGATACAAGTCTGACTAGTTAACCTATAGCTAGGGGAGACGAGGTGGATTCATGTCATTTATACCCAAAGTTATTTGTGCTTAAGTGAATGTAACGGGAATTGGAACTTGGCTCTCCGATTAACAATTCCGAGCTGTTATCCATTACACCACCCACATATCCAATCTTACAGCGCCTGGTATTCCCGAGCAGTCACCCATTTATGTACTGGCCAGATTCGATGTTTTTTAACTTCGGTGATTGTACGGGGACCGCTGTTTCATCGTAATGTGGCCGTAAACCCAAAGGAGGAGAAGAATGAGAAGTTACAGGCAAAATGTCAGAGGCCAACAGAGACATGCTTAATTGTCAGCATACACGGAATTCCCATGGGTTCATCTAGTTAACAATTAAAGTATCCAATTAATTAAGTCGAACAGATTTAATTACCTAACTTACAAGAAAGATACAACGTACGATGCAAGATGTAATAGCTGGTGAATACAATGGACGAGTAAAATCATTCCAGTCAAGTTGTAACAATTGACGAAAACTGGAATTATTTAAGTAAAAAGAAGTAATATTCCATTGGGATAAAGCACGATTGCCCGTTTGTTTGGTGATCAGCCAAAAATGATAATTTTTTTTTTTAACCAGATATAGCATCTTCGGATTAGCATTTATTATGGTGTTTACATAATTCTTTTAATAAAAAAAATTCAGTTCCTAGGAAGTCTGCAAATGACACCTTTCGTGTCTGCAGAAAAACGTCTAAAAAGGATAGTTTTTTTCCCTTGGCACCGTTATTAAACTACCTTCATTCCTAGGCGATAATTATTGCTTAAAAGGCAATTATTAGAATTGTAATAAAACCTAAACATGATGAAAGTGAATTTATAAATTTTCTTTGTTCTTGGGAATTTACAACAAAAATATCAAACACTATCTTACTATTGTTGTCAATTCTCTAGAACAAAGAAAATGTATAAATTTACTTTCATATGTTTAGGTTATATTACAATTCTAATTATCGCTTTTGCCGAAAAGTGAAGGTAGTTAAAATAATAGTGGCGTCAAGGGAAAAACATTTTTTTTACACTCCGTTTTTTTGCGGCACGAAGGTACAAATTTGCCAAAAATTATTCACTGAGAAAGTATAAAATTTCTGAAATGATGGAATTTTTGAAGTTGTCTGAAAGCTGGCATTAGTTAATGGAACCAAACGAAAAAAAAATATGCTGATCAGTGTCGTTATGTTGTGATAGTTACAAAAAAGACAATAAAATAATAAAAAATAAAAAGCCTTTTCCTGTCATGCAAAAAAATTAAAAATCAAGATGGGAAGCCAAAACGCCTTACTCAACTGACCACAATCATAGAATTCTAAAACAAAACTCTCTCGCCTTTGATCGCGTACTTTTGCTGAAGCCGGACGCTAACATATAGGCTCTGTGAACTTGTCAAGCCGGGACTCTTACTTACCTTCATGGCTCAGTGACTTCTTCTATGTACTGTGTCCCTTCAGGAAGTTGACTATCATGGCTTCCCACAATTTCCTGCCATTTGTAGCTGTTAATACATTTTGTATTTTTGCCATCTCTCCCTAAACCTGTTCCGACATCTATTCACTCAAGCTCGCTCGGTAGGTTATCCGTTGCTTTCCTTTGTCCCTCATGCTTTCAGTGTGTTCTGTGAGTATAACAATTTTCCAAGCTTTCTTTTCTCGTTGTGTACCCTAGAAATGTCAACTGTATCTTGAGATGTTAAGTATAAGCATCCTTCTTGTTGCTATTGTCTCTAGAACTTCATCATTGCTTACATGTTCGGTCACAGTATTCTGAGCATACTTCTGTAGAACTACATTATTGTTGTTATCCATCTGTTAGGAGATGGCTCAGAATTCACTGCCATATAGGAGAACTGATATTACATTACTGACCTGAAATAGATTATTCTTCTGACATTTTCATACTCTTGTTTCATGGATTAAAAGAAGTAATTCTTTTAATCCAAAGAACCTTTGGATTAAAAGGAACTTTCTTTGAATGACTCTTAATTTTACTTAATAAACCGACTGATATTTTACTTTAACGCAATAAGTGATTTTATATATATATATATATATATATATATATATATATATATATATATATATATATACACACACACATATATATATATATTTATTTATTCGAAAATTATAACATAAATATGTTATAAAATCACTACAAAAAATAGCCATTTTGTTTCAACAATTCTGGTGTCTTATCAAGTGATGGTGTTGAATGTAGAATAAAGAATTATATTTGCTCTACTTTGTATTGAGCACTCTTTTAAGAATAGCATTTTTTTGTTATTGGAATTTCTTCTGTATACACCAATCCTGTACTTTATATATATATATATATATATATATATATATATATATATATATATATATATATAGATAGATAGAGAGAGAGAGAGAGAGAAAAGGAGAGAGATGTTTGGACCGAGAGTTTCTGAAAGTGATCGACAGAAATGGCTGACGACCTATTGTGTATCAAAATCAAGTGCAACTGTCCAAACTACTTCTCTTACGAACGCAAATTCAAAATAGATTCTCTGCCGACCAATTACCATGAGTGCATTATTAACGAACTGATATAAAACCCGATAGAAATGTTATTGGTTCTTATTTTTTAGGCATTCGGTTTTTATTATATAACCTTCCCTGTCGATACCATTCACGGGTGATATTTTCACCAGCTATCTTTCCACACGTAACTATGTTGTATTTGCTTGTCACAATTTAGTTCCACAATGAATTGAAGTCTCTAATGAAAATCAGGCTTTCAGCTTGTTATTTGTTGGCTTCCTCGCTTCAACGTGACTCGACTTGGCCGCATCTCTTTCTCTTCAAGGATTGCTGTACAATTTGTGAATGAACTGCTACCACCTTATATCGACTTCATAATAAGTGCAATGGCGTTTTTAAGGTTCAGTTATATTCTGGGCTGGTAAGGATCGTTATAATAAGAATGGACGTTAATATTAAACTGCATTCTGATAAAATCTCAAAGATTTATGTGATACAAATAACTACGTTGTATAGGAAAATCAAATGAAAGGCGTCTTGGGTATGACGATATTCGGTAGCAAGGAACTTTGAATCACCTCTGTTGTTCTCAGTTCCACTCTGACCTGGCGTGGTAGTACCTGTTAGGATCCCAGCTATGGGCAAATAGTTAACCTCGAAACTGGGGCCAAAAATTATAAAGATAGATTGTTATAGTAAAAAATACCAGTAATATATTTTTGAAAAAAATATTACCAGCAATATATTTGACTCTGGACAGAACCCCTCTTTACAAGAACGAACCCAATTAAAACTGATTTCTTACAAAGAATACATATTCTATTCATACAAACGTATCCTAAAAATATTGTCAGCATTAAATAACACATTGTGGTGTTGATATGCCGTAAAACAAAATAAAAACCAATAAAACAAACCAAATGAAAACTTTTATGGAACATCGTCTGCTGTGTAGTACTAGACTATC